TAGCGCCTTGGTTCGCAGCAATTCATATTTATTTGACACTTTTATGTTATCAAAAACCGTCAAATCTAAATATAATTAATTGTATTAAAAAAGTTAATATTTAAAAATACACAAAATTGCTATATATTGTAATTCTCCTAATACTAAATGGCGATAAATACATTCTGAATTGTGGTCATAGTTCAGGATTTTTTTTATTTTTTTTAAACCCCTACCAAATTAGGAAGATCTATAGTATTTCCACGCTTCCTCTCCAGCGTAACTCGAACCCAGGACCTAATTGAATCTTGTGAAACTACAACAAATAAATTCAATGAAATCTCATAAACCGAAAATATAAACTTTCTCTCACAAATGCATGTCCAAGATTTCCCCTTCCTCTACTCCACCTCATTCTCACCATCGTATTCTTTTTTTGATTACTTCCTCATCATGCTGTGGCAAAAAATATGAATGGCGTTCCATTTATAGTTACTCCTATAGTCATATGATAATTCGATGTAAATATGTCTTAGCTCTTTCGTTTGTTTCCCATTTATTTTTTGTATTTTTGCTGGACCGTTTGACAAATATAATTCATTACTTGTATAGTTTGTAGGGAACTTGTTAGTCTTCTAGCTCTTCATAGGTCCGCCACAAAGTACATTTTTACTTTTATCCGGCACCAGAAACTATTTATATCCGGTAGCCGAAAATTTATATATATATATATATATATATATTTGAATATTATTTTGAGAGTGACTATACAATGTCATTTTTCCAACTAGGTAAAAAGGGCCGAGGTCAATGCAGGCCTTATATCTAATAGCCCATTAGAGACTGCCAAAGGCTAGCCCAAATAATAAGGTAAGAGTTGGAGGGGGGATTTGCATCTATACCCGCTTTTTGTGTCACGTTTTAACTTGTACCCGCTTTGCGAAAAAAATTGCAAGCGTACCCGCTTTTTCGCATAACTTCAGCATACGGGGTTGAAGTAGCAAAGACAATCACGCAAAACTTCAGCATTCTAGTAGACGGGCCTGAAGTAGCAAGTGTGCTGAACCAAGTGTGCTGAAGTTTTTGTTTTTGTAACTGGCGTTTTTGTTTTGTAACTGGCGAATTTATAACTGGAGAACTTAAGCTCTAGAGCTGAAGTTTTTGTTTTTGTAACTGGCGAAAGTTTTTGTTTTCTAACTGGCGAACTTCAGCTCTAGAGCTGAAGTTTTTGTTTCTGGCGAACTTCAGCTCTAGAGCTGAAGTTTTTGTTTTGTAACTGGCTTATGGTTTTCATGCTTCCCAGAGGCTTAAACTAAACCATCGATCAAAACAGATGATGTTAAGAGATGGCACAAACAAAGGGGTTTTCGTTGTGATTCAAACCAGTTAGTCTCAGCATAAACAGATAAAAAATCTGTGCATTTTTTCTACAACGGAAAGTTTTCAACGCACTTATACAGATTTATGATAAGCTGATTTATTTATTCAAACCAGTTAGTTTCAGTTAGCTGCTGCTTCAACGCATCTATTGCCACCATTCAATCAAGCAGGGACCTTTAGTCACGGACTTCAGAAAGAGGTTGAGGGCTGATATAACTTTGAGGAGGAGAAGGAGGAGGAGAAAGGAGGCTGAAGTTGTTTAAAAGTGGGTACAAGTTAAAAGTTTTTAAAAAAATGGGTATATGTTAAATGGGGGCGACCAAATAGGGTGCCCGTGCAATTTTTACGAGTTGAAGACCACCAGCGTAAGCCCATTTAAGCGATGCCCGTTTCAATACCATAAACTAGATAGCATTTCCCGGTAATAGCAAGGGGGAAGGTAGGAAGTGCATATATACTCATTTTTTGGGCCATTATTGAACTTATACTTGCATTGCATAAAAAGTTTAAGTTTTACCCACTTTGGAACACACTTCATATGTCGCGTCTGATGTAAGATATTCGGGTAGTTTCACGTCTGAAGTTCTCCTCGTGACAGTGCAACTTCGGACCAAAGTTGCAAATTTCAATTAATGTTCGCGTGTAAAGTTCTTTTCTCGGCGGCGAAGGAGGATGAGGAGGAGGAGTCAGCTTTGTCTGAAATTATCTTACTTAGAGTACCAATTAATTTTTTTTTAAAGTTAGTACAGGTTAAATAGGGGAGACTCTAGTTAAAAAATAAAATAAAGATGGGGCCGACTAAATTGGCCGTCCCGTGAAATTTTTATTGGGAAAAAGGAGTTCAAATATTGCATCGGGTGTCCTCTTATTGGTTATTACTTTTCCGGCACATTACATTTTAACATATATAGATATCGACAAAACTTGTGCTCCTCCTCCTTCTCCTCCTCTTTTTTCCCCCTCCTTCTCCCTTCTTCTCCGTCTTCTTCACATATATTGTGAAAACTTGAAGACTCATTGCTTATTTGTTGTCAATTTGGTGAAGAAACTTGAACATTATTCTTAGATTTTTTGAGCTTAAATGTTGAAGAAGAAAGTGTAAGTTTATTGCTATTTGAAGGTCTAGGTTGAATCTAACCATTGGGAATTGTTAGGATTAGTAATAGAATATTGAACATCAAATTTGGAATCATTTAGAATTTGTGGACCAATTGGATCAATTTTGAAGCACAACGTGCTGGTGAAGTTTCTTAGAAACTTCTTGTGATTCGTTAGGAATCGTGAGTAATTTGTCCCAAATTTACGTAAAAATTGCACGGGGAGTCCTATTTGGTCGCCCCCATTTAACATATACCTATTTTTTTAAAAACTTTTAAATTGTACCCACTTTTTAAACAACTTCAGCCCCCTTTCTCCTCCTCCTCCTCCTCCTCCACTCTATTGAATGGTGGCAATAGATGCGTTGAAGCAGCAGCTAATTGAAACTAACTGGTTTGAATGAATAAATAAATCAGCTTATCATAAATCTGTATAAGTGCGTTGAAAACTTTTCGTTGTAGAAAAAATGCACAGATTTTTTATCTGTTTATGCTGAGACTAACTGGTTTGAATCACAACGAAAACCCCTTTGTTTGTGCCATCTCTTAACATCATCTGTTTTGATGGATGGTTTAGTTTAAGCCTCTGGGAAGCATGAAAACCATAAGCCAGTTACAAAACAAAAACTTCAGCTCTAGAGCTGAAGTTTGCTAGTTACAAAACAAAAACTTCAGCTCTAGAGCTGAAGTTCGCCAGTTACAAAACAAAAACTTCAGCTCTAGAGCTGAAGTTCGCCAGTTACAAAAACTTCAGCACACTTGCTACTTCAGGCCCGTCTACTAGAATGCTGAAGTTTTGCGTGATTGTCTTTGCTACTTCAGCCCCCGTATGCTGAAGTTATACGAAAAAGCGGGTACGCTTGCAATTTTTTTTGCAAAGCGGGCACAAATTAAAACGTGACACAAAAAGCGAGTATAGATGCAAATCACCCCAAATTTACGATACAATTTCAACTAAAGTCCTGCCAATATGCCAAGACTTATAGCAAGCCCATCAATCATAAACTCTGAGTGATCCATCAAATTCTGCGAATAATTTATTTTAAAATTACGATACAATTTATACCAAAGAGCTTTCAATCCACATCGAAAAATATAGGCTTTCTCTACTGAGAGTCATCAAAGGCAGCCTTTGATCAGTAAATTATTTAGAACTTCGAAAAATGGAATTCGATATAGCAACTCAGGTTCGTTTGCGTTGCGCGGCCATTAATGACTAGTTAAAACACCAGGAGTGGTCAGACAAGAAAATAGTTGTCATAGAAAAGGAGGGCATGACAATTTGACTTTGATGGCACGACTTTCAAAAAAGGTGACATGTCGAGAAAGGTGGAATCGTCGTGTAGAAGGATCATTAACACACTCTTGATGAATTGTCAGGCCTTATGGCAAGTCCATCTATTAGAAAATCCTGCTGATTCACTAGGAGATTTTGTACAAAAGTTTCACTACTAGAAATTCGACCAAAACCGACCGTTGGTGACCGACTTCGATCGGTCAAATAATCAGCCATCGGTTTTTCAAAATATTTTATTTTTTAATTTTTTTATGAGGCCGGTTTTTTTGGCGCAAAATGCGGGAAACTATATTTTGCGTCCCACGAAATTTATCTTTCAAGAAACCGACCAACTTTGGTCGGTTTTTCATTTAAAATAAATTAAAATTAATATTCAAAAAACCGACCGAAATCAGTCAGTTATTTCGGTCGGTCATTTTAAAATACCAACCGATTTCGATCGGTAATTCTATTTTTTTAATAAAATTTGGTCATTTGTAAAATTTAATCAATCGATCGAAATCGGTCAAAAAATACCGACCGAAATAGCTCATTTCGCGTTACATGTCGCCATCGATATTTCCTATAGATAGTTAGTCCTTAAAGGGAATGTGAACATGGTGACTAAAACAGAAGTTAGAGTACTCTTTTTCCTCTTCGTTTCTTCACTTTCGGTTCAACCTACTCAATTTAGACACCTAAGGTCCTACACTCAATCGAAACTCGAATCATTTTATCCCCACATTGCTCAAATCTCAATTTTTCCAGTCTCCCTTTTTCCTTATACTAATATTTTAACTATATCTTGACTTACTTAAAAGGTAGTAGTTGGAATTTGACGTCAGCTAATAGTCAGACTTTCATCTTTTGTTATTTGCTTCTACAGAATGCAATTACTATATTCTACTTTCACACCTGAATTTCTGTATTTTCTATCATTTTAACCTGACTTCACGACTCAAGCTTTTCTATTGTTGGTGTTAAGTTAATACCGAAGTTTTCGTGTATCAACACAAATATTCATGTTTGCTTGTCAACATTGAAGCTTTCGGCATTTCATTTTGGTGCATAGCATATGTGACTTAAAAGGATAAATTAGATAAAACGGACTTTTAAGTAGAGAGGAATGAATATAAAGATTCATCTAGTTGAACCCAACAGATATAATTGATTGATTGTTATATGATCGAATTTATAACCTCTTCTACGGAAACTACATAGGATTTAAGTTATATGCACTACAACACTAGTAGTGTAAAAAAAAAATAATTACACCGTACACCAGGTTATTTACCATTTAATTTAGGTTATCAATTAATGCTTAGATAATATAGTTTACCTATAATTACTTTTTAAATGACCTTATGATTCAAATATTTCTTACACTCTCAAGGCTCGTTTGGTACAAGGGATAAGGGATAATTAATCCCGGGATTAATTTGAGATGAGTTTATTCCATGTTTGGTTGGGTTAAAATTGTGGTATAATTATCCCGAGATCAGTTATCCCGGGATTGTAGTGTTTTTTTATACCTATGGGAGGATGGAATAACTAATCACAGGATAACTAATCCCGGAATAATTAATCACGGGATAACTTGCTTCCCAACCAAACCTACTCCTCAGTGCATAAAATGTAAACTCAATCTCCATGACTTCACAATAACATTTTAACACGTCCCAATTTGATGGATTACTTGGCCTTAAAGACTAAACAACAACAGGTTATGTAACAACAGCCTAAAGTGGTCAGAAAAGAAATATAACAACCCAATCATCGTATTATAGTTAGGGGTGGGCGTTCGATCGGTTCGGTTCGGTTTGAAGAAATTCGGTTCGGTTATTCGGTTTTCGGTTTTGTAAAAGTAGTAACCGAAACCGAACTGAAATAAGTTCGGTTCAATTCTATTTTTCTAATTTCAGTTCAGTTTGAACATTATCATATTGGCTCCTTCTATGTAATAATAGGATGGGCGAATTTGTTGTTTTTTCCCAAAACTTCGAAATTGTTGGAAATATTGTGTTTATAAAAAAAAAAAAACTAAACTAAACTTTGCACACTATTATGGATCATAAAATTCAAACATAGTGTAAATTACAACTCTATGTGAAATCCTCCCGGTATCTATCATATATGCTATGGAAGTTTTAATAGAGTGAAAGTCTTTAAGATTGGGAAGTTGATGGACTTACTTAATTAGGTTGAGTCTTTGATAGATTGGACCTAATAGTATTAATTTATTACCTATGGGCTTAGCCTATATATAAATTAAAGAACCTATATGCTAATAATTCGGTTTTTTGGTTAACCGAACTAAATAACTTAATAACCAAAAACCGAACCGAAAAACTAAAATTTTAAAATTTTAAACCGAAACTGACCGTACAAACCGAATAACCGAAAACAAAATAAAAAAAATTTCCGTTCAGTCGGTATATTCGGTTCGGACCGAAATATGCCCACCCCTAATTATAGTGGACCGGAGTCAAGTCAATAATAACTGTACAAAGTCGTCTGATTGACCTAAAAGCCAGTGGATGGGGACCACATTTTTTTTATAGTTGCTTGAAGTCTTAAAAGATAGGTTGTCTTCATTGGGCAACAAGGTACTAATTGTCAAACTCTCACAATTATTTAATCAAACCAAAACAAAGACAAGTTTGAAATATTTGATTTATAAAAGATAAATTACACCAATTGCTTACAACTATAATCCTAATGCTTTCCTCTATACCAAAATACTTTGTCCTGTTCCTCCTCCCTTTCTAATTTCTTCTTGTTTTAAACATCACATGAATCTCCAATGCCTATTCATGGTCAAGAAATCTGTTTCTTTTCTTGTCATTGCTATTCTTTTCATTAACTTAGCAGATGACACTCTCTCTATACACCTCAATTCTAGTGCTTGTATTACACATAGTTGTGGTAATGGAGTTAAGATATCATACCCCTTTTGGATTCCTGAGAAACAACCACCTTACTGTGGCTTACCAGCTTATAATGTTACCTGCAATAAGGATAAGTCACTTCTCCATATTTCTGGAGATGAATTTATCATTAAGGAAGTATTTTACACAAACAACTCAATTCTCCTAGCTAAAGCAGATGTGTTTGATAAAGACAACAAATGTCCAGTACCAACACATAATTTTAGCCTCAGTGGTACTCCGTTTCGCTCAGGGCCTAACACTGCAGATCTCTTCTTTTTCTATGACTGTACTCAACCTTATGAAAGGGAGACATATGCTGTGAATTGTGCCAGCAATGCCACTCATCATTCTTTTGCTGTTTTTCATACTGAGCTTTTGGAGCACTCTAACTATTCAGTCGAGTCGTGTCAGGATCCTGTTTATGCCCTTGTTGAGACTGATTCTCTAGATAGATTGCTAAAAATGAATTACATGCAAGTTCTGCAAAAGGGATTCTTTCTGCAATGGGATGGGACTAATTGTAGAGATTGCCAGAGTAGTGGAGGGCACTGTGGTGTTCAAAATAACGAATTTATATGCATTTGCAAAGACCAACCCCAACAAAGAACTTGCCTTCATGGTAATCTAGAAGCTATAAGTTTAAATCCATGTTTGACCATATTTCCATTTATTGTGCAGAAAAAATTTCCTCAAATCCTAGATAAAAATGGCAAGCCATGATGTTATTTATTGATCATGTTAAGGGAATTCCAATTAAATGATAGTAGCTGATTAGTTATACTTTGGTATCAGTTGATCACATGCTATATTTTCGTTTCAGGAAGAAACAAAATTGGATTGAAGGTTGGCATAGGTGACTGACCTTTGAAGTTGTTCACTTTGATTTATCTTATATCCTTCTATTCTCAAGAATGCTCAAGAAAATTGCAATATACATTTCTTCTTGCAGGAGTTGGTGCAGCTGCGATTACCGCTTTGATGGCAGGTGTAATTTTCTTTATCTATCGTTGTAGACAGAAGAAAATTTATGCTGGTTCATCGTTGTTCACCACAAGCATTCTTTCGTATCCCTCCTCAATAAAAGATCCCGAAAAGGCTACTAGCTTAATCGGAGTTCACCTCTTTGATTACAATGAACTAGATGAAGCCACTAACAATTTTGATTCCAAGAAAGAGCTTGGAGATGGTGGATATGGCACAGTATACAAAGGTAAGAATGATCCTCTATTGAACTTCTAGTTGCTAATGTGTGACTGACCTTGGATATGATGATTATAGGTAAACTTCGAGATGGGCGTGTTGTTGCTGTAAAACGTTTATATGAAAACAACTGCAAGAGGGTTGAGCAATTCATGAATGAAATTGATATCTTAACACGGTTGCATCATCCAAATCTAGTCACCCTTTACGGATGCACATCTCGCCATTCCAGGGAGCTTCTACTTGTTTATGAATACATTCCCAATGGAACAGTTGCTGATCATCTACATGGTGTACATTCAAAGCCCGGATCGCTTTCATGGAATACACGAATGAAGATTTCCTTAGAAACAGCAAGTGCATTAGCCTATCTCCATGCTTCAGATGTCATTCACCGAGATGTAAAAACTAACAATATCCTCCTAGACAACAATTTCTGTGTTAAAGTAGCAGACTTTGGCTTGTCTCGGCTTTTTCCAACAGATGTAACACATGTCTCAACTGCTCCACAGGGTACTCCTGGATATGTTGATCCTGAGTACCACGAGTGCTATCAGCTCACTGACAAAAGTGATGTTTATAGTTTCGGAGTGGTTCTAATTGAGCTTATATCATCACTGCCTGCTGTTGATATCTTTAGGCACCGGCATGAAATAAATTTGTCGAATATGGCCATTAACAAGATTCAAGGTAACGCATTACATGAGTTGGTGGATTCAAATCTTGGGTTTGACACTGATGACAAAGTAAGGTCGATGATTACTACAGTGGCAGAGTTGGCATTTCAGTGTCTACAGAGTGATAGGGAATTGAGGCCATCTATGCAGGAAGTCGTGGAGGCGCTGATGAGAATTCAGAGAATTAATAAAACAACGGGGAAAACAGATAAGGAATGTCCTGATGATGATACTGGGTTGTTGAATAGTATTACGTTATCAGTATCACCTGATTCGGTTACTACAAAATGGAGTAGCAGTCCAACGACACCCAATGCCAGTACCTAGTTTTTGCTCATATTGCAAGTTTTCTGCTGTTCTCTAGGGTGGTACTTGAGCACCTGCTATGTTGGTTGCCAAACCTGAATTTCATAAGCTTTGGTTAACTTGGTTTTCGGCGTGAAGGAGGATGTAAATATTTCAATGCAGCTTGTTTAATTTAACAATTCTTATTCGATTTCATCTTCTCAAGTCTGCTGATTCATTTTGTAGCTTGCAATAGAAGATTAAGATTAAGTTTTACAAGAGCGTTTAGTCAAGGATATATTATCTGCATAGACCATAGTGTAGTAGACCTACTTGACTGATTTTGAATATAAAATAAAAGTTTAGTGCTACTAAGCAACACAAAGTGTTTTTACTTTTTACAATCCAGATTCTACGTGGAATTCACTTGGTTTGTTGTTGTTGTACGATCTAGATTCTACGTGATCGCTCCTTTCTATTGATCTAGCTTTAATTTTCTTTACTCGAGTTGCTTTCAGCACAGTGCTGTTTCATCAAGACCACATCTCAGTGATATCTTCTTCTTTTTGTTCGTTTGGCGAGTGGCGGGGGTTAATGCAGTGGTCAATCTGAGACCATTCTTGATCTGATAAACTGAAGAAGCAGAACAGCTCATGTAATTATTGTACTGTCACAAAGGAGGAAAGAAATGAGAGACTGTTCTTAGTATTCTAATGAAACTCTCCACATTATGTACAATTAGAAATGTGGTTTTCTTGATAGAGAAGTGTTTCAAATTCTGAAGGGGAGAGACTAAAAGGGCAGCGCGGTGCATAAAGCATCCCACGTTTACGATTAACTTCAAACTTATCGGGTCTGAAGTTAAAAAAAATTTAGTGTAAAGTGAAAAAATTGCATTTCAGATGCACTTAAAGCCAAATAGGTCTGAAGTGCAACTAATAGTTTCATGCACTTAAGGCCAATAATTCTGAAGTGAAAAATTGCACTTCAGATGCACTTAAGACCAAAAGGTCTGAAGTGCAATAAACATTTTCTTACGCTTAAGGCTAATAAGTCTGAAGTGAAAAATTGCACTTCAGATGCACTTAAGGCCAAATAGGTCTGAAGAGCAACCATTGGTTTCATGCACTTAAGGCCAATAAGTCTAAAATGAAAAATTGCATTTCAGATGCACTTAAGGCCAAAAGGTCTGAAGTGCAACAAACGTTTTCCTACACTTAAGGCTAATAAGTCTAAAGTGAAAAATTGCACTTCAAATGCACTTAATGCCAAAAGGTCTGAAGTGCAACCAACATTTTCATCCACCTAAGGCCAAGGCCTGAAGTGCAAATTCCCCAGAAACCGAAATTTGATAAATACCAAGAATATGATCTTCACTAAGTAGTAAACCATGTTGAGAAACTAATTAATAAGAATACTTCTGAATTATGAAATTCTTTTGCTTCTGCTCAATTACTACTGTTTTGATGGTATATATAGGAAAAATATGCTGAGACTTGCACTTTTTTATAAGCCTTTTAATTTGAATAATAACAATCTCTACCTTTTGAAGACATAGTAATAAAGGAAACATATTTGTCATTTTTCTTTTTTCCATTCCTCTACTCTTATCTTATAGAAAGCAAAATAATTAGAGGAAAGAAATTAATGTAATTTCATAATTTTATTACCTCAAAAGTTTGGTCATTTATTTATTTTATTAATTAGGAGGATTTTTGTGAAGGTAATTGCAAATCTGATTGGGAAGAGTAGATTGTGTGGGATAGTGGGGTGAGGTGAAAAATAAAGGAAAAGCAAAATGAGTAGAATAAGAAAGAAAAAAAATAACGAGAAGATAAGAAGAAAAAAAATTAAAAACAACTTATTATATAAAATTTAAAAGATTTGTGAATTATTTTAATTTTCTTAACGATTAGTTTGTTGAGTTTGAAAATAAGGGCAAGTATACGTTACCGTATAACAACGAGGATATAAATAGAGTCTGATTTAGGATTTAAATTTTATGAGTTCAATAGCCTCTTAGCATTGAAGCTATTATATTTTTTAATTTAACGGTTCAGATCTACCATTTGTTGTAAATTTTAATGAATTTTTACACAAATTTATGCTTCACATTGAAACTTATAAGTTCAGATGAACCTTGAACTGCTACTATACATCCCGTCCTTGGATACAAGTAACCCCAAGTTGTATCGTTGGTATAGTTCAGAGACAATTTTGGTCCTTCTCCCTATTTTGCAATATGATTTCTCAAGCAAAAATAATATGATTTCAATAATATCGACATTTTCCTCGGGATTTTCTTTTATGTATTTATACTACGTATTAAATCCCGTTAATTTTTTGTATATTTACTTTTTAAATTTTTTACTTCCCTTAGAAAAATTTTTGGCTCTGCCACTGAGCAATGTAACACTACTCAATTGATCTTTTCTTTAATACCGATGAATTATTATTTTGCTGTGTCTTGACTTTCTTTTTATTTAATGTATTTTATCCTGTTCTACTTTTCGGGGGAAATTGACCATCTGCCTATGCGAACGCAGGGTTCGGGGAAGGGCCGCTCCCCAAGGGTGTGTGATGTAGGCAACCTACCCCGATGCAAGCATAAACAGGGGGATTAGAGACTTGTCTTCATAAATCATAAACATTTCCTTAGATACACCCTAGTACAATATACTGAAATACATATCTTTCACGGTGAATTATCCAAGTCAGAAACTCACAATTACAGACACAAATTGAAGTTCATTACAACTCTTGTAGAAAGTTTCTTCTTTGGCAGCCATGAAAATATATGAAGGGCTATAAAATAGCAGATGCTTCAAGAGAACTAAGAGCTGAACTTGAAGGAGAAATCAAGGAGGCATTAAGGGGCATTCCTTGCGCGCTCAAAGAATGTCTTCCTGAACAATATGGAGTACATAATAAAGGTTTTGGTGGTACTTCTAATGTCAAGTTACCTTCTAACATCTCAATAACTTTGCTCATTGATGGCCTTACTGCTGGATCGGTTTGTATGCACCACAGACCTACTAATATCATCTTCCTTGCAGTTTCTTCTTCTTCTTTGTTTATAATCCCTTGTAGTTTCAGCTCATCGTCTAGCTGAACGTGCTGATACGCCCAGTAAGGAAAATATATCTCACTTGTATGGCTTACTTCTTCTTTCACATTTTTTCTTCCTCCGACCATTTCTAGAACCATCATTCCATAACTATAGACATCAGACTTGTGTGAGACTCCTCCAAAACTCCTACTGATTACTTCAGGAGCAATATAACCAATCGTCCCTCGTGCTCCTAACATGGATACAATGCTTTCTTTCCTTGTGCAGAGTTTAGCCAAACCAAAATCTGATATTTTAGGACAGAATTCCTCATCAAGGAGTATGTTATGAGGCTTTATGTCGAAATGCAAAATTCTTGTGTTGCATCCCCGGTGAAGATACTCCAATCCTTTAGCAATTCCAACTGCAATTTGATACAATCTTTGCAGTTCCAAGCGAGAGCCATCACCATATATGTATTTTTCTAGAGATCCATTTGGCATGAAGTCATAAATAAGAGCTCTTTTGCTCCCATCAACACAATATCCCAAAAGAGACACGATATTAACATGGGAAGTTCGACTGATGCTTGCAACCTCATTGATAAATTCTTCTCCATCACCTTTAGTTGCTTTCAGAATCTTTACTGCAACAGCACGGCCATTAGCAAGAATACCTTTGTAGACCCCTCCATAACCTCCTTCACCAAGCTTATCGTTGAATCCGTGTGTCATTTTCTTGATTTCCCTATAGCTGTATCTCTTTGTTGCCAGTGATCCATATTGCTTAAGTAAGGCCTCTAGACTCTGATCTTCTGTTTTGCCGTTGATTAGTCTTATGCACTTCTTGAATGTTTTTCTATATTGTGTGTACATTATACCAAAGAAGATTAACATCCCAATTCCAGCAACTGAAATTCCTATTGACAGAGGAAGAAAAATTATTGGTAGTCTTTGAGGGAATAATGAATCTCATGTAGGCTGCAAATATGAAGGGGAGCCTTGGCGTAACCGGTAAGTTGCTGCCACGTGACCAGGATGTCACGAGTTCGAGTCGTGGAAACAGCCTCTTGCAGAAATGCAGGGTAAGACTGCATACAATAGACCCTTGTGGCCCGACCCTTGTGGCCCGACCCTTCCCGGGACACCGCGCATAGCGGTAGCTTAGTGCACTAGGCTTCCCTTTAGAAAAGAGCATGAACTAGGAGGGAAGAGAGTCATACCTGTTGTCAACTTGAGTAAATGAATCTTTCTTGCAAAATTAGTGTTTGGTTTCATCAAAACTGACTTTTCATCAGCTGGACAGGTAAAAGGAAGAGTTGTATCTCCACAACGACAACGAAACTCGATATCAAATTCACATATCCCTCCTGAATCTTGACAAGCCAAACAGCTACCTGAGGCATCACTATAATCCACTTCAAACCCCTCATTCACAGCCTCCTGCAGCTTTAGAGTTGCGTCCCACAGTTGCGTATAAGCAGTAGAAACAAGAGGAACCACAATACTGAAAGAACATCCTTTAACATAATTTCCAACAATTTCATCAGCAAAGAAAACACCAGTGTTGGTTGTTCCTATCACAGAACAATTAATATTGCTTGGCAGCTGTACCTGCGACAGAACCTCAGGATTGCAGCCGTAGAATATGTTTATAAATCTAGTACCAGGGACGTACCTGTTAGGATCAAAATAATCAGGTGTCATGCGGAAGCTAGAAAAGCAAACCTTGAACGACGATGAATCAGATAACAAAAGAGAAATATATCAAAAGAGATACAAACATATAACACGGTTCAGTCAATTTGACATAGTTTGTAGTACTAAAATATATGTCTAACTTTATCCAATACTTTTGCATCAAACACGCGAACCAAATAACTTGATCCACCACTAGTACGTACCTGAGACCGTTGATTAAGGTGGTGGTGTACTTGTTGAGATTGGACAAAAAAGAAGATTTTGGACAAACGTTAAGCCAAAGATTATCATGCACAATCCTCATTCGAGTTGAGGATTCATTAATTGTAAGTACACGAAATTTTGAAGGTTGATAGCCAACGTATTTTCTTCGTGATAAGAAAGGAACAGGTAAAGTGGACAGATTATCTTTGCAATCAAGAAAGTAATCGTCTCGGCCACATGGTCTTGGTCGCGCACTACCTCCCCAGAAAGGATAC